GAGGAGGAGGAGGAGGAGGAGGAGGAGGAGGAGGAGGAGGAGGATGATGATGATGAAGAAGAAGAGAAGGCCCGTCTGAGCAAAATCAAGAAGGCGAAGTGGAAGACAAGAGGTGGGACGAAGGGGAAGGGGGAAAGAGATGCGGAGGAAGCAGACGAGGGGGAGACAGTGATGTGGGTCTTCAATGACAAGGACCAAGAGGAGGAAACGAGAGCCCGGGCGGCGTTACAGGGAGACATGGCGGAAGCAGACCAAGACGAAGAGGAAGAGGAAGAGGAGGAGTTTCCTCCCGTATACGAATACATGAGTCACAAGCGCCAGCGAACGCTGAAGGTAGGACAGCGGAGGTAATAATGTACCGGGAGGGGGGGGCACGAGAGGCAGTTGCGTCGCCTCTACCTTGTGTCACCGGCATCGGCCCCCTTTTCTGGCCGTCTCTCTCTTCCTACCTGCCCCGTGTACGGGGGACCGTCACCCTGGTTCGATGGAAATAAAAAATGTCGCTCATGGCTTCCTTCTCTGATTTTTTGTTCTTTCCTCCTTTCCTTAACCCCTGTCCGCCCAGTGGGTGCCGTATTTCGTCTACCCTGCCACTCTTGCCGCCGACGCGGGAGGGGAAGAGACAGCAATAGCGGCCACGGAGGTGGTAGCAGAGCCTCAGCGGCATGGCTGGATGAAGGGGGACGAGAGGCTGCTTTTCTTCAGGAATGTGGAGGACGGGAAGGAGGTGACGCCGGAGGTGTACTTCAGGGCCAGAGAGGAGGAGGGGACAGGGAAGAGGAAGCGTCCAACCGAAGATGAGGTAGGGGGAGGGGAGGAGAGGGAGGAAAGCGAAGGGGAGAGGGACGAAGAGAGCGAGGAGGAAAGCGTGTGCTCCGTGAGTAGCGAGGAGGAGGAAGAAATGGAGGTGGACACGGCGGAGCGGGGAGACGGGCGGCTAATCATGGGGGAAGGGAATGGTCAGATGCCGAGCCAGAGGGAGGGGAGAGTACTAGCGGAGGTAACGGGGGAGGGATTCGAGGGTGGCGTTGCGAATACACGGATCGGACACGATACCAGCGAACAGGTGGGAGATAGGGGAGAGGAATGGATAAAGAGTGGAGTAGGGGGAGGGGAGGGCAATGCGGCTATGGGCCGTGGGACAGCCGCGGAGGGAAGCACAGAGAACTTGGAGGGCCACCTGGAGGGGAAGGAGGGAGGAAGCAGCTGGGGAGGGAAGAAGGCAGTGGATGCTGGAAGTGGGGAGCAATGGGAGGCAGGAAGGAAGGAGGGAACGAGCGATCGTCCAATGAGTGAAGAGCTGGCAGATAGGAAAAAAGAGGGGAAAGGCTGGGCGATGGAGGAGAGGTCATCAAACGGTTCCGGAGAAAGGTACATGCTAGATTCGTACCTGATGTCAGACAACGATCCCGAGCCTAAAAAGAAGCAGCCGTTTCACACACGGATCATGACTGAACGTCCATGCGAAAGAGAGGCAATAGAAAGCTCGATTCCCGGAGAAAGTGCTGCATTAGAGATGGATGAGATAGCAGAATTGCTCAAGGCAGGGCAGCTCATTGACGTGGAGGAAGGGAGGGAAAGTGCGGCGGAAGAAGGGGAAGAGGAAGGGATCGAAGTCATGATGAACGACGAGGCAGCTTTTTCGTTTTTGTGGTGAAAAATCAAAAGTGCTGACGCTTTGAGAGGGAGGGGAAATGCTACGGTGCGAGAATGAGTTAGCGGCGTCACGCTCTTACAGAGGGAGTTACAGCAAGCTTGAAAAACAACGCAGAACGAAGGAAATTATCAGCCCCAAAATGCATTTGAACGCGTTAAAAGAGATATAGGGTCATATATAAACAATATATAGGCAATAGGGTCAATTGTATGCGTGCCACTGCGACAGTAGATCGATACTTTTCAAGGTTTACCGATCTGGGCACAGGTGGCGGAAGGTTTTCTTGCATGATTCTTTACTTTTTCATGGAGCGGTTTCTGGTTATAAATGGCTCCAAAAAAGTGTTTCAGGTCTGTAAAGTAAGCTTCTGTGTTATTTTTCTTCAAAAAAAAAGACATCATTATTACGGGAAAAATAGGTGTCGAGAGTACTGCTTGTAGAAAAGTTCGTAAAAAAAGCATGGAAGAACAACGAAGAAAGATGACGTCATCCTTATGAGACTTAGTGCATTGAAAGGTTTGTAAGATAGAAAATGCGCAACATAACGTCAATGGTCCTTGATATGTCTGCACATTTACCACTTTTTTTGATCCGTTAGAAAGCTAAGGATGTATCGGTTTGGCTATGGAAGCTTTCTTTTCAGAGGAAAAGGCTGGGCAGACACGACCGGCCCTTCCGCTCGAGATATGATAGACAACGTGCGTCAACATGCATGTAATTGTAAGATACATGACAATGAGCATTACTCTTACGGTCGATCCAACTGGGTGCTCACGGCCTTTTAATGACGATTTCTATACGGAAAACAGGGCACCCGACCATGAAGAGCAGCCCATCACGCGCGCTTTCCACCGTCGCATATGGCCTTGTCTTCCTTGTTCCTGTCTTCATCACTGTCATCATAGGCCTCGTCCCGCTCAAAAATTTCCCCACCAACGATGTTTCTGTGCCACCTTTCAACCTCTTACAACGTGCTAACGTGACTGAGTACGCACTTCGCAGCGCATCTTTCCCCTCCCTCTTCTATCTCTTTCTCTCCCTCCCACCGCCTTCCGGGCCATTGCACGGGGAATACCTCGCGGAGATACTGGATGCAGGCTCGCTTGCTGCCAATGTGCTGGGATGGATTGGCTTCACCCCCTTTTTTCCCGGAGCGTGGATAGGAAAATCCTTCGTGGAAGCCACCGATGAAAAGGACGGATGGGGGTATAACGTCTTCAGATGGTTCGGTGCGCGGCTGGACCGTCGTTTCAAGATGCACACGTGCATCACCACTTCAGTGTGGGACGGCCGGCCATCGTTTCAGCTGCAATACGCCGGAGAAACCCACCTGTTGGGCCGCCTGCGCATGCGAGACGAGGTGCGGGAAATCCAACCGGGGCTGTACTTGGGGATGGGCACGTTTGGCTACAGCGAAGCGAAACGGCGGGGCGACCCGTTACCCTTCCTGCTGCGTGGGCCCTATCAAGCACCGGTCCCGGGGGCGGTGCGCGAGTCCTTTTGGCCCAAGGCCGGTTAAGAAGGCTCGGGCGCCCAAGTCATCAAACCACGCATGCCGGTGGAGAAAGGCCGGCGGAAACCCGTCGTATTCGCTTGGAAGCGAAATGGCAGTAGCGGCGACCAATCGTTTGACGTCCCATTAGCTGACTCCATGCCTCGCTTGAGGAGGCTTGCATCCCTCTCTCCTGGTCAGCCTGCCCCGCCGCGGTTCCGGAATCCCGAATCGAAGATGCAGGGCCTCGTGTGGCGGGATTGGGTGTCAGACAAGATGACGGGCATTCACGCGCGTTTTGGGTGGGCGAATGCACGTGGTCACGACGAATGGGTTAAGGAGACGGTGGCTCGCCATGGAGACGACAGCTGACGTGCGCGGGGCGACTCAGGCACAGCCTGATGGAGAGATCTTTATCGCCCATTAAGTAACTTGACGGATTTGTTTTCCCAAAAAATCGGTCGTTTATTGCATTCATTTGCTAAAATTTATTTGCTCGCGTTGGGAAATGCCTTTGCATCCGACTTTTCAGAAATTCAGAAATTGCAGACAAGCTCTAAGTTATTATTCGACAGCTCTTCTTTCCCTCTGTCTCACATCTGGCTTGAACACCTGTACATTCCGTCATCATCCTTCCGTCCTTTCCTTTCTTTCCTCCTCGATTCGCCTCCACTTGGCCCCGAGCGTGACACTCAACCAGTTGGGGAAAAAATCCGAAGATTCCCCACATTTCGCGGTCCCCTTGGTGGACATCACAGACGGTGCGAAGCATCCTCATCTTCAGATGCCTTGTCGCTCTTTGTACAGCAGGGATTCGGGGAGACTGGGAGGAAAGGATGGGGAGAGGGAGGGTGACGTTGGTCCTCCTACAAGCTCTCCGCAACAGGGAAGGAGGAATGGGGTGCGTGTGTCCTCAAGGGACAAGGATAAAAGACAAAATATACCCATCCTCCACGCTTTCCTCCCAGAGACAAGGAAAAAAAAGAACCTACCTGCGGTCCATCCCCACCCATTCCACACGCCATGCCAGCCGTTGATCTTCCGCCGGCCAGAGTCCAAGACCTCGTTAATGCTCGGCTGCCCGTCCTCCTCGGTCCCCGGCACCTGCTCGGCGGCCAGGTTACGGGCAGCGTCTGAAAAGGATGAACAAAGACAAGGCAACACACAGATCAGGGGAACAGAGAGGAGGAGAAGAAAGGGAGAGGGAGGGAAATTGGCGAGGAAGACAAGGGGAAGGGGAAAAAGGTATATAAAGGTCGGCAAATGCGAGAGAAACTCAATGCTGAATAAAAACGAATGAGGCATAGCAAGTTATGCCGAAAACCTCTTTATGCTCCTTCCTAACCCTCCTGACTTGCATGTCCGCACTCCTTCCTGCACTTGCCTGGTAAGTCAAAAGATGTCCTTTCTCCCACCACCTCCTCCTCCATAAGTCTCCGCGACGCTCCAAGCAAAGAACCCCTGAAAGATGGCAGCCCATTTCCAATCTCAAGGAGCCAACAAGTGGAGAGGATAAACAGTCCCTTGACGGTGGTTTTCATACTTAAACACCGACCACTGTTTCCGTTCGTCCTGCAAGAGGCTCTGCGGGACAAAACAATTGGCACGAGATCGTCGACCGGGTGTTTGTAAATAGACAGGGAGAGATTTTCGATGGTCAAATGCTATAAGCTAGAGATTCAGTGGGTCACCCTCACTTCGGCGCAACAGATGCGCTTGGAAATACAACACAGGAAGGAATATCACCCGACATGCGACGTCAATCTACAACATCTCTCCTTCATGACGCTCCGGACACGACCAAACACTCCATCCATACCACTCAAAGTGTTGTTAAACAGCGTTGCACCCCCAGACACCTTCAAAAAAGCTACGATGCGAGCAAACGACACGTCCCAAATCGTGACACCGATCTTCCTCCCTCTGCCACCTGGCGCCAACCGACACCATGCTTCGAGTCTGAGAAGTTACCCCCTCGAGACCGCGCGATCGCGTGCCCTTCCACCCCCACGAATCGTCCCGTATTCGTGCGTACAGCGATTGAGAAGAGGGGGAGGTGGTGGATGGGATGTCCACAGGGTCGGAGGGGCGGTGTGGGTGATATGAAAGGATGCCGTTAAACCTTCGCTGCATGTTGAAGATCGAGGAGGTTACTGCATGCAAGCCAGAGCGACGGTCACAGTCCTTTACAAGCGATGCATTGCATGAAGGGAGGACATGCAATGTAATAATATGTGTTGGGTTTTATTTTTCGTAGCCAACAGTAGGATTGGACAATGTTTCAGCCGTGCGTCCGTGTGCGAATTGCTTAGAAATACGTGTGAAGCCCACTACCCGAGCATTTCCCGAAATAAAAAAGCCAAGATAGAAGATTTGGGTGGGCCTATTTGCATCTCTGAGCATGCTTTCGACAAAATTGATCATTTTTTTTGATAGACTTTGTAGCACTTTATCTATTGTGCAGTTGCGGTCAAGCTCTCTTGCATGAAAAGAGGAGTATGGATGACATAGAATGCAGGAGGTTGATGGAAGCTATCCGAGTATGTCTTCTTTTAGTGCTTTAGAATCTTTTCTTTCTATCTCTAGATTTTCCTCCTCATTCATCTCGCCGACTCGTGCCTCTAAACCTTCCACTCTCCTAGATTTGCCGGGTATTTTTTGTTCGATTTTTCTCCCATCCCACCCGAAAGCTCCAAAGAAAAAGACAATGTCCCCTCAATGTCAGGAGACTTGGCATTCGAGAATTCCTGTTAGTTAAGGGTAGGGCATAATTTCGTGGATTCAAAGAATCTAGACAAAACATCCAACATAAAGTCTTCCTCCTTTCCTTCCCCCCCCCTCTTTTTCCTACAATTCCTTTATGGCGCCAGTAGCTGAGCATGTTTACTTAAAAAAATCACCTACTACGTCCATAACAGACTCTAAGTATCGACTGAGATGAGAACGACGTCTTTCTACAAATTGTCGTGGCAAGGGAAGTAAGAGAAGGCAAGAGCGGACGTTTCCGGCCTACCTGTCATAAAAATGTAAGAATGAGGGTATGATACAGGACTGCAGGACTGTTCCTGGTGTGTCAAGTGCGAGAACACGGAACTGGAGAGAGGCAAAAAATCATATTGTGAGGAGGAGAGGGCAGGCAGCTACTGTTTGAAAAGAAGCCAAAAAAGAAAAAGGTAGAGCAGATATGAAGGAATGAGGAAAATGATGATATTGAGTTCAGGAGATTGGACAGAGCTCAGTATGGTAGCTTCTTCATAGGCCACAAAAAAGCAAAAGAAAAGAACAAGGAACGAAGGAACGAAAAACTACCGGACGGAAAAAAAATGTGAGGTGTACTGCTACAGACCTTGCCTGCTCTGTGTCTCCCACTGTAGCGTGGCGTAATTTCTCCCCCCCTTCATGCCGTGAACGTGATAATATGTTGATTCTACTTATGTCTGTCTTTTTCCGTCCTTAGTATTCGGAGGTGAAGGTGAATTAATAACACATGTTATGTTGTTCTTGGCACGCAGGTTCTCAGAAAAGTTGCGATTCCATCTAGAGAATAAGAGGAGGCCACGACACACACCAAGCACTCCACGTCACATAAGACAAAGATGTAATCATTCTAAGAAATCGCCTGCTTTCTTGCTGGTGTGTTAAAAATTGTAATTCAGGTTTATATTCACTGCAATATTAAATCAAGTAAATCGTGGGCGGAGGTTAAAGGAGAGAACAAGAAGGCCAAGTGGGAGGACCCATGCCGTTGCCAGTGACAAACGTCCAGACAAAATGATCCTAATTTCCCTGCGTGCATACTTCATATTTGTCATTCGGTGCCGTTGCATGTGTATTCAGGGGGTACGGGCATTGTCAGGTCCTTTATTTGGGCGGAACTGCCAGGGCTTGTGACTCGCTCACTTGAGATGGCGAGCAAAGAAAAGGCGGCGACGCCGCGGCTCTTCGATACACCATCCTTTCCCATACCCGCTTCCAATTCGTATGTGACGCGTCGCGTCGGTTCTCATGTTCATGAAGGAGCGCATGGCTTGCGTTGATCTCGGTAGATTTCTTGCCTGAGAAGATGTAAAGCACTCAACTTCCTCCCTTCCCGTTCTTTCCATCAAGGGGACTGGTCGATTCGAAGTAAGCAGCCAGGGTACGGAAAAAGGGCAACGTTGCTGCCCTCTCGCACCGCACGGGAGTCATTTCAGACTTCTCAGACCTACCAACACCTCTGCTTCCTCCGCCTTCCCCCCGGCCGCCCAGAGAAGGGGGAGGGAGAAGGGAGGAGAGTCTTCGCGTTGAGGGAGGAGGAGGGGCGGGGCAGGGGAGCATGCCAATCATCGAGCTGCGACAACGCTCCCGGTACGTTGGAAATAAAGTTGAGGAAGACCACATGGCAACCACGAACGCTAGCGATAGCGCCCTGCGTGCACCAGTTGGTCGTCAGGAGTCGGGCCCTGCCGGTATGACTTCTTACCCCTTTGCCTCTGTCTCCCGCCTTCCCTGTCTACCTGATACCGCCACAGGGGCTACGTGGAACTCGGCGGGAGCGAAGAGGCGGTCTCTGCGGGCGAGGACGGGGAAGGCTTCTACCACAGTGGCTACGCGGGCGAGGCGGCGGGAAAGAGCCTTCGGCTGGGTACAGGTAATAACCGAGGTCGCTGTTTTCCCTCCATAAGCCCTGTCTTTCGCGTGGTATTGATGGAAGAAGCCCTGATTGTCTTCCCTGCTCATTGCATGAACCCTCCAAGCTTGTTTGCACGGGAAGTGGCTCGCCCATCCGACCTCCCTTCTGGTGCCCGTGTCCTGCGCCCTCTACCGCCCTCCGTGCCCTCCATCGGGTTCGCGCCCTACCCTCCTTGACTCAACCCTTGGCTCTTCCACCTCCTCATCCACGTCCTTGACCTCTCTCCAGCCCCTTTAGGCGGGGGCGGCCCTTACACCAGCCACTACCAGGACGGCAGCGATGATGATTTCTCCACCAGTGGACCGCAAGGCCCCGTCGGTACCTGGGCGCGTTTTC